TTTACCAGATCTCCCAACACATTGTTGGAAGAATGATATTAATTTATTAATATATAGTTAATCCTTCCCGCATACTGGTCAGTCTTGCCTCATGTAACTAGATTAGTGAGATTCCGGACTTTCTTAATGATACTTCTCATAAGTTTCGAGTCTTTGGTGTTTTTAACTGGGAGTTAGTCTTAAGGGAGTGAATGGAGCCATCATAGAATTGTTTCCTTCACAGGTGAGTCATACATGACTGTTACTGCTCATTCTAGGCAAGACTGGTCGCTTGGAACAGTCACGGTGCCAAACACTGACTCTTTCAACTAATCTGAAACACTCTGATAGAAGGAGCAGCTAACTTTCCGCCCCCAAGGAATTGAAGAGTTTATGTGAGGGTATTGTCTTGTGTCGCGGTGTCCAGTACAACACTCACACAGTCACCATGACAACAGTCACCATGACAACAGTCACCGTGACAACAGTCACCATGACAACAGTCACCATGACAACAGTCACCATGACAACAGTCACCATGACAACAGTCACCATGACAAACACCGTGACAACAGTCACCATGACAACAGTCACCATGACAACAGTCACCATGACAACAGTCACCATGACAACAGTCACCATGACAACCATGACAACAGTGACAACAGTCTCCATGACAACAGTCACCATGACCATGACAACAGTCACCATGACAACAGTCACCATGACAACAGTCAGTCACCATGACAACACAGTCACCGTGACAACAGTCACCATGACAACCATGACAACAGTCCCCATGACAACAGTCCCCATCAGTCTCCATGACAACCATGACAACAGTCAACCATGACAACAGTCACCATGACAACAGTCACCATGACAACAGTCACCGTGACAACAGTCAACAGTCACCGTGACCATGACAACAGTCACCATGACAACAGTCACCATGACCATGACAACAGTCACCATGACAACAGTCACCATGACAACAGTCACCATGACAACAGTCACCATGACAACAGTGACAACAGTCACCATGACAACAGTCACCATGACAACAGTCACCATGACAACAGTCACCATGACAACAGTCACCATGACAACAGTCACCATGACAACAGTCACCATGACAACACAGTCACCATGACAACAGTCACCATGACAACAGTGACGTGACAACAGTCCCCATGACAACAGTCACCATGACAACAGTCACCATGACAACAGTCCCATGACAACAGTCATGACAACAGTCAGTCACCATGACAACAGTCACCATGACAACAGACAACAGTCACCATGACAACAGACAACAGTCCCCATGACAACAGTCACCATGACAACAGTCACCATGACAACAGTCACCATGACAACAGTCACCATGACAACAGTCACCATGACAACAGTCCCCATGACAACAGTCCCCATGACATGACAACAGTCACCATGACAACAGTCACCATGACAACAGTCACCATGACAACAGTCACCATGACAACAGTCCCCATGACAACAGTCAACCATGACAACAGTCACCATGACAACAGTCACCATGACAACAGTCACCATGACAACAGTCACCATGACAGTCACAGTCACCATGACAACAGTCACCATGACAACAGTCCCCATGACAACAGTCACCATGACAACAGTCACCATGACAACAGTCACCATGACAACAGTCACCATGACAACAGTCACCATGACAACAGTCACCATGACAACAGTCACCCAACAGTGACAACAGTCACCATGACAACAGTCACCATGACAACAGTCACCATGACAACAGTCACCATGACACCATGACAACAGTGACAACAGTCATGACAACAGTCACCATGACAACAGTCACCATGACAACAGTCAGTCACCATGACAACAGTCACCATGACAACAGTCACCATGACAACAGTCACCATGACAACAGTCACCATGACAACAGTCCCCATGACAACAGTCACCATGACAACAGTCACCATGACAACAGTCACCATGACAACAGTGACAACAGTCCCCATGACAACAGTCAGTGACAACAGTCACCATGACAACAGTCACCATGACAACAGTCACCATGACAACAGTCACCATGACAACAGTCACCATGACAACAGTCACCATGACAACAGTCACCATGACAACAGTCATGACAACACAACAGTCACCATGACAACAGTCAACCATGACAACAGTCAGTGACAACAGTCCCCATGACAACAGTCACCATGACAACAGTGTGACAACAGTCACCATGACAACAGTCACCATGACAACAGTCCCCATGACAACAGTCACCATGACAACAGTCACCATGACAACAGTCACCATGACAACAGTCACCATGACAACAGTCACCATGACAACAGTCACCATGACAACAGTGACAACAGTCACCATGACAACAGTCAGTCAGTCACCATGACAACAGTCACCATGACAACAGTCACCATGACAACAGTCACCATGACAACAGTCACCATGACAACAGTCACCATGACAACAGTCACCATGACAACAGTCAACCATGACAACAGTCACCATGACAACAGTCACCATGACAACAGTCACCACCATGACAACAGTCACCATGACAACAGTCATGACAGTCCCCATGACAGTCACCATGACAACAGTGACAACACCATGACAACAGTCACCATGACAACAGTCACCACCATGACAACAGTCACCATGACAACAGTCACCATGACAACAGTCACCATGACAACACAGTCAACCACCATGACAACAGTCACCATGACAACAGTCACCATGACAACAGTCACCATGACAACAGTCACCATGACAACAGTCACCATGACAACAGTCACCATGACAACAGACAACAACAGTCAGTCACCATGACAACAGTCACCATGACAACAGTCACCATGACAACAGTCACCATGACAACAGTCACCATGACAACAGTCACCATGACAACAGTCACCATGACAACAGTCACCATGACAACAGTCACCATGACAACAGTCACCATGACAACAGTCACCATGACAACAGTCACCATGACAACAGTCACCATGACAACAGTCACCATGACAACAGTGACAACAGTCAACAGTCCCATGACACAGTCACCATGACAACAGTCACCATGACAACAGTCACCATGACAACAGTCACCATGACAACAGTCACCATGACAACAGTCACCATGACAACAGTCACCATGACAACAGTCAACCATGACAACAGTGACAACACCATGACAACAGTCACCATGACAACAGTCACCATGACAACAGTCACCATGACAACAGTCACCATGACAAGTCAGTGACAACACCATGACAACAGTCACCATGACAACAGTCACCATGACAACAGTCACCATGACAACAGTCACCATGACAACAGTCACCATGACAACAGTCACCATGACAACAGTCACCATGACAACAGTCACCATGACAACAGTCACCATGACAACAGTGACAACACCATGACAACAGTCACCATGACAACAGTCACCATGACAACAGTCACCATGACAACAGTCACCATGACAACAGTCACCATGACAACAGTCACCATGACAACAGTCACCATGACAACAGTCACCATGACAACAGTCACCATGACAACAGTCACCATGACAACAGTGACAACAGTCACCATGACAACAGTCACCATGACAACAGTCACCATGACACACAGTGACAACACCATGACAACAGTCACCATGACAACAGTCACCATGACAACAGTCACCATGACAACAGTCACCATGACAACAGTCACCATGACAACAGTCACCATGACAACAGTCACCATGACAAACAGTGACAACACCATGACAACAGTCACCATGACAACAGTCACCATGACAACAGTCACCATGACAACAGTCACCATGACAACAGTCACCATGACAACAGTCACCATGACAACAGTCACCATGACAACAGTCACCATGACAACAGTCACCATGACAACAGTCACCATGACAACAGTCACCATGACAACAGTCACCATGACAACAGTCACCATGACAACAGTCACCATGACAACAGTCACCATGACAACACCATGACAACAGTCACCATGACAACAGTCACCATGACAACAGTCACCATGACAACATCACCATGACAACAGTCATGACCATCACCATGACAACAGTCACCATGACAACAGTCACCATGACAACAGTCACCATGACAACAGTCACCATGACAACAGTCACCAACAACAGTCACCATGACAACAGTCACCATGACAACAGTCACCATGACAACAGTCACCATGACAACAGTCACCATGACAACAGTCACCATGACAACAGTCACCATGACAACAGTCACCATGACAACAGTCACCATGACAACAGTCACCATGACAACAGTCACCATGACAACAGTCACCATGACAACAGTCACCATGACAACAGTCACCATGACAACAGTCACCATGACAACAGTCACCATGACAACAGTCACCATGACAACAGACAACAGTCACCATGACAACAGACAACAGTCACCATGACAACAGTCACCATGACAACAGTCACCATGACAACAGTCACCATCACCATGACAACAGTCACCATGACAACAGTCACCATGACAACAGTCACCATGACAACAGTCACCATGACAACAGTCACCATGACAACAGTCACCATGACAACAGTCACAACAGTCACCATGACAACAGTCACCATGACAACAGTCACCATGACAACAGTCACCATGACAACAGTCACCATGACAACAGTCACCATGACAACAGTCACCATGACAACACCATGACAACAGTCACCATGACAACAGTCACCATGACAACAGTCACCATGACAACAGTCACCATGACAACAGTCACCATGACAACCATGACAACAGTCACCATGACAACAGTCACCATGACAACAGTCACCATGACAACAGTCACCATGACAACAGTCACCATGACAACAGTCACCATGACAACAGTCACCATGACAACAGTCACCATGACAACAGTCACCATGACAACAGTCACCATGACAACAGTCACCATGACAACAGTCACCATGACAACAGTCACCATGACAACAGTCACCATGACAACAGTCACCATGACAACAGTCACCATGACAACAGTCACCCTGACAACAGTCACCATGACAACAATAATAACAGGTAACAGGAGAGGACTTCCAGGGCCTAACAGAACCAGGTGGGATAAAACGTTAAATGAATTGATGTTGTTGAGGCGGAAGACCATTACTGTTCCTGACAATAATGTTCTCATTGAGAGGCTCACCTTCCTTGTATATCCTTCTTGTCCTGTAAACACCTGCAAGATTAAGTGTTCTGTCAGCAGAAGATTCCCTGAGAAAACTACAGTCCTACAGCTGAAGTTAGTGACTCACTTGTTAAGGAAGCCCCATCTGAGTAATAAGTATCGTGTCTTAGGTTTTCCAGCTATCTTAGACAGTGTCAAGATAGCTAACAATATCGGGAGCTCCTTCACCCATCTTGGGTTTTTCACAATCTCCACCGAAGTAGGCATTAACTTTGGCTGGCACGAGAGACTCGACACCAGTTGATGGATCAACCATCCCATGGCACATGTCTCTGAAGACAGACCTCACTATGATCAATATGTCTTGCTCATGCCACTCCATTCCTTGCTTTCGCTTCCTTTGCAGCTGCCTCAGGAAGGAATTTTTGAGGCAGAATCCTGCAGGGGTCGGAACTTTCCAATAGCGGGAGTCCCACCAGGAAAACTGGTTCTTGACATGTCTGGGCATCCAACGCTCAGCCTTCAAGCGGGAGAGGAGAGTCTTGCAGGTGAGAAACACCCGGCGCTCCTGAGGCTCCAGCTGCTGCAGCACCTCCACCTCTGTCGCAGCCAGGCTACACCTCCACGACCCATCTTCTGTGTTGCTGAGCTGGATTATTTGTGAGGTGTCGGGTGTGAGGGGAGGTCTGCTAATCTCCTCAGGCCATGGCACCACCACCACTGGCACTAAGTCAACACTGACCAACAACAGCGGATACTCACTTCCCTGCCAGGCCAGTGACAGTGCCACGCCCACCTGCGTCCTGGTCAGGCCAGGTGGCACTAGACTAAGACGCTCGTCACCAATGGTGTGGCTCTTCAGGATCTCTCTCACTCTATCATAAAACTTTGTTACAAAATTATTCCCATGGAGACTAGAATTTTTCGTCTTTATTTTGACTTTTAACTTATGACCGCTGGCTAAGACTTCTTTCTCTGTTTGTTGTATAACTTTAACTCTGACTCCAGGAAGCTCCTGGAGAACAAAATTAACGTCGAACTCATCGGGACAATAGAGCCTTGTACCATCTGCAGCGCTCCCAGACAGTCTCAGTTCCCCTCTGAAAATTTCATCTGAAACATTTTCTGTAATTTGTTGAAGTTCTTTTATTACTTCATTCTTGACCTCTTGTGCTTCACACATTGTTAAGTCAACCGTTGTCTTCTCTAAGTCTCTCACCAAGCTCCCCAAGTCAATACGGTAGAGAAGGTTCATTGCAGTTTTTGTTGGGTCATTATTTATGTGTTCAGTATTAGATGATGATTCAGGTTCACGTATATTGTACTTCAGGAGATACTGAGAGAAACGTCTACGGACTTCTTGTGGGGTAGTTCCCGCCCTGCAGGTAGGTTCAGGTTCTATAATATATTCTGCTAAAAGTTCATGAACGTCATCATGAGCGAACATTGCAGCGAGGTGGGGAGGTGTGTGGCCGTATCTGTCAGGCAGGAGCGGCTGGGCACCAAGGCTCAGGAGGAGGAGGACGCAGCCTGACTTGCCATGAGCGGCCGCCTGGTGGAGGGCAGTGGTGGCAGCGGTGGGATCCACTAGTGTGTCTACAGCCAGGCCTCCCACCTTCACCAGGAGGTATATCAGCTGCTGCAGCCCACTTCGTGAGGCCACCAGGAGAGCCTGGGGTCCTGTGGACAACACCAGGAGAGCCTGGGGTCCTGTGGACAACACCAGGAGAGCCTGGGGTCCTGTGGACCACACTCGGGATCCTCTAGCTCCTGCTCTCTTCTTGGCCCGAGTAGTCTTCTTCAAGTAGCTAGTGAAGAGAATTTCCTGAACGTCCAGAATCTTTTGCACCTGTTTCTTGTCGATGGGGTGTGTTATCTTCTCCTGTAGGTCCTGCAGCATGTTCCTTTCCTTGTTATAAATACTCTGTAAAATATGTTAGGTTATAATTACTCGTAATTATTATCACAACATTTTAATACATTGAACATTGCAAAACATTGGTTTCTAATATAATATACATATATATATATATATATATATATATATATATATATATATATATATATATATATATATATATATATATATATATATATATATAAACAATAGATGTTAAAAAAATATATATAAAATTAAATGAAAAATATTATAATAATAATGGCTCTTGCAGATTTTTTAAACTATTGCTGTAAGGATGTTGTTGAAGAAGCCGAAATGCCTCACAAAGAATTGTTAATGTCATTTTTATCTTATACACTGATAGATACATGAATTATTACATATATGATATGCAATTTGTATACTTTAGACCAAAATAACTTTGCAGTCTCATCTTACCAAAATATACCAATTATTCGTCAATACTGCCAAAATATAATATTTAAATAGGTTATTATAAAATATTGTTGGTGTTGTAACATAATCGAAAATAGATAAAAACGCATAGAGTGGGGGCGAGTGAGGTGGAGGGGAGGAGTGAGGAAGAGTGGTCAGGTGAAAGGGAAAGTTTACAATGAGAGAAAATGGATTAGAGTACTTTAATTAGATAAGAGGTAGATAGGAAGAGTAGATAGTAGTAGAAGTGCTAGACAGAAGAGTGGAAAATGTAGGAAGGAGTAAGAAGAAATAGAAATAAAGGAAGAAGAAAGAGTAAGGGCTGCCACCAACCATTCAAGAGTTATTAATAAGATAAAGAATGGAACTTGTAAATCCAAAAATTTTAACTGATGTTATCTCGTAACAACTGTATGCATTTATATCATATCATCAAGAATTATTAGGACATAATCTTTAGCAAGTAAACTTCAGAATGTTCTCTACTCTAGCTTTCACTAATATAGGCATAAATCCAAACTCTAGGGATCAGAATTAAAGAAAATTTAAAAGTAATTTAATAAATTATTAATTTGTATGTATATATTCAGGAAAATTCACAATCATATGGATATCATAACTCAACCCTTTCCCTTGATGATCATTTGTCAACATTAATTCAGAATTTAAAAATCACACAACATATAAATTGGAAAGCACAAAATACGTCAACCTTACAATTTCACTCACCAAAGTCTCTAAGTATAAGATGGTCAGCAAGGAGAGAGTGATACGGCTGACAGCTAGAGTTCTCACCGGCCTGGTACAGGTCGATGGGACAGGTAACATGAGAGACAGACATAGTCATGGCTACTGGAACGTCTCTCTCTTTCTCTGTATCTCTCAAATGTACAATTTATCGTTTATTTAAAGGGGGACTGGGAGCTAAACTCCGCCTACCAGCAGATAGCCTCTGACTATCTTCCTACCACACCTACACAACAGCTTGTTTGATGGGAAGAACACAGCCAACGTCTGCAGTTACCTGTTTAGCTGAGAGCGAGGTCACCTGATACGACCTGACCTCTACTTAACCTGTGACAATTAACACTCAAAAGGTGTGACTCTTGAAACACTAAGGGCCGACAGCCTGGCGCCGCCACTATCCTGTGTACTTACTCTCGTAAACATTTGAACTCTCGTTACACGTGAAATATTAAATAAACCCATTTATGGTGTTCCATTATAATATTAACAAAATTAAACTTAAATGTAATCAACAAAGGAAAAATGTGTTTATTCTGTTGAGCATGTTGAGCCTCGCTAAATAGGATAAGTGGGACGGTTCTACCTGTTAGGCGCAATATGTGTGCTTGTGTAGGAGAAAGATCGTAGTACCTTACTGCACTAGTCAATGGAATATCATTGAATATATATAATTGCATATTGATAAATTTCCATAACTGGATGTTAGTTTAGTCATGCCTAGTTAAGTATGAATGTAGTGAGTTGAACGACTGACTTGTGGAGGTGGAGCACCTCACCCACATACTGAGTGAGGTGTGGAGCATGAACACTGACCTGCTCCAGAGAGTGGGTGAGGTGTGGAGCATGTACTCTGACCTGCTCCAGAGAGTGGGTGAGGTGTGGAGCGTGTACACTAACCTGCTCCAGAGAGTGGGTGAGGTGTGGAGCATGTACACTGACCTGCTCCAGAGAGTGGGTGAGGTGTGGAGCATGTACACTGACCTGCTCCAGAGAGTGGGCGAGGTGTGGAGCGTGTACACTAACCTGCTCCAGAGAGTGGGTGAGGTGTGGAGCATGTACACTGACCTGCTCCAGAGAGTGGGTGAGGTGTGGAGCATGTACACTGACCTGCTCCAGAGAGTGGGCGAGGTGTGGAGGCAGGGTGACTGTGGGCAGGCGACCTGTGGGGTCAGGAACATACAGAGAGCCGTCCATGTCCTTCACCATCCGGCCCGCCAGCTCCCAGTGTCCAGCGTCCAGGGCAGCGTGCAGAGGACTCGCGCCGGACTTGCTACATAAGGAGGACTGAGCACCAGCCAGGTGGAGGAAGCTGCAGGTCAAGGTGCAATTGGCACGAGCCGCCTGAACCATGAGCTGAGTCAGGCTCACCACTGACCTGCCTTGGGGCCAGCAGGCTCTCCATGGGGCCTCGCCTCTTATGGTGGATATTACTTCATCAACACCTGCACCAAGCTCTCTTACTTCATCAACACCTGCACCAAGCTCTCCCAACTCTTTAATTTTATCACGTTCTTGCTCCAGTACGTGAAGGAACACCTGTAAACACAATGTATTGATGTAACACATTCACCAACACCTTTAAACACATTTTAGTGTTATTACTACATCAACACCTGCACCAAGCTCTGTTACTACATCAACACCTGCACCAAGCTCTCTTACTACATCAACACCTGCACCAAGCTCTCTTACTACATCAACACCTGCACTAAGCTCTCTTACTACATCAACACCTGCACCAAGCTCTCTTACTACATCAACACCTGCACTAAGCTCTCTTACTACATCAACACCTGCACTAAGCTCTCTTACTACATCAACACCTGCACCAAGCTCTCTTACTACATCAACACCTGCACTAAGCTCTCTTACTACATCAACACCTGCACTAAGCTCTCTTACTTCATCAACACCTGCACCAAGCTCTCTTACTTCATCAACACCTGCATCAAACTCTCTTACTTCATCAACACCTGCACTAAGCTCTGTTACTACATCAACACCTGCACCAAGCTCTCTTACTTCATCAACACCTGCACTAAGCTCTCTTACTTCATCAACACCTGCACCAAGCTCTCTTACTTCATCAACACCTGCACTAAGCTCTGTTACTACATCAACACCTGCACCAAGCTCTCTTACTTCATCAACACCTGCACCAAGCTCTCTTACTTCATCAACACCTGCACCAAGCTCTCTTACTACATCAACACCTGCACCAAGCTCTCTTACTTCATCAACACCTGCACCAAGCTCTCTTACTACATCAACACCTGCACCAAGCTCTCTTACTTCATCAACACCTGCACTAAGCTCTGTTACTACATCAACACCTGCACCAAGCTCTCTTACTTCATCAACACCTGCACTAAGCTCTCTTACTTCATCAACACCTGCACCAAGCTCTCTTACTTCATCAACACCTGCACTAAGCTCTCTTACTACATCAACACCTGCACCAAGCTCTCTTACTACATCAACACCTGCACTAAGCTATCTTACTACATCAACACCTGCACTAAGCTCTCTTACTACATCAACACCTGCACCAAGCTCTCTTACTTCATCAACACCTGCACTAAGCTCTGTTACTACATCAACACCTGCACCAAGCTCTCTTACTACATCAACACCTGCACCAAGCTCTCTTACTTCATCAACACCTGCACCAAGCACTCTTACTACATCAACACCTGCACCAAGCTCTCTTACTTCATCAACACCTGCACTAAGCTCTCTTACTACATCAACACCTGCACCAAGCTCTCTTACTACATCAACACCTGCACTAAGCTCTCTTACTACATCAACACCTGCACTAAGCTCTCTTACTTCATCAACACCTGCACTAAGCTCTCTTACTTCATCAACACCTGCACCAAGCTCTCTTACTACATCAACACCTGCACCAAGCTCTCTTACTTCATCAACACCTGCACTAAGCTCTCTTACTACATCAACACCTGCACCAAGCTCTCTTACTTCATCAACACCTGCACCAAGCTCTCTTACTACATCAACACCTGCACTAAGCTCTCTTACTACATCAACACCTGCACCAAGCTCTCTTACTTCATCAACACCTGCACCAAGCTCTCTTACTTCATCAACACCTGCACCAAGCTCTCTTACTACATCAACACCTGCACCAAGCTCTCCCAACTCTTTGATCTTTGAACGTTCTTGCTTCATTATATGAAAGAATACCTGTAAACACAATATATTGTTGTAACACATGCACCAACACCTGTATACACATTACGACGTAGACCGTGTGCAACATCTGCCAGCTGGTGTAAGAGGTGCACCAGCAGTTGTGCACCATCTGCCAGCTGGTGTAACAGGTGCACCAGCAGTTGTGCACCATCTGCCAGCTGGTGTAACAGGTGCACCAGCAGTTGTGCACCATCTGCCAGCTGGTGTAACAGGTGCACCAGCAGTTGTGCACCATCTGCCAGCTGGTGTAACAGGTGCACCAGCAGTTGTGCACCATCTGCCAGCTGGTGTAACAGGTGCACCAGCAGCTGTGCACCATCTGCCAGCTGGTGTAACAGGTGCACCAGCAGTTGTGCACCATCTGCCAGCTGGTGTAACAGGTGCACCAGCAGCTGTGCACCATCTGCCAGCTGGTGTAACAGATGCACCAGCAGTTGTGCACCATCTGCCAGCTGGTGTAACAGATGCACCAGCAGTTGTGCACCAGCTGCCAGCTGGTGTAACAGGTGCACCAGCAGCTGTGCACCATCTGCCAGCTGGTGTAACAGGTGCACCAGCAGTTGTGCACCATCTGCCAGCTGGTGTAACAGGTGCACCAGCAGTTGTGCACCAGCTGCCAGCTGGTGTAACAGGTGCACCAGCAGCTGTGCACCATCTGCCAGCTGGTGTAACAGGTGCACCAGCAGTTGTGCACCATCTGCCAGCTGGTGTAACAGGTGCACCAGCAGTTGTGCACCAGCTGCCAGCTGGTGTAACAGGTGCACCAGCTGGCAGATGGCACGCGCAGGCTAATGCATTCCCACATGATCTGATGTTTCCATAAGAAAATTGTAAACATCATATAATCTGATGTTTCCGTAAGAAAATTGGAAATATTATATGATCTAATGTTCCCAACACTGAAATATAAGAAAAAACAGTTAAAAGAAGCGAAATGAATAAACGAAAAGCATATCCCAAGGGTAACTGTAAACTGTTAACGGTAACTGTTACCCCCATCACATTAAAGGGTAAATGTGATGGGGGTAACTCCCCCATCACATTTTCCTCCCTATCATTTTTCCCTCCCCCATCCCCTCGTCCTCCACTCCATCCCCCACTCCCCTGTCCCCATGTCCTCCCGAACATTCTCCATTCGCCTGTCCCCTCGTCCCCACCATCCCCAACTCTCCTATTCCCTCGTCCTCTCCACTATAACCCGCTCCCATTTCCTCATCCACGCCACTATCATCTGATGTTACCAACAGAAAATTGGGAACATCAAATGATCTGATGTTCCCAACCCTGAAATATAAGAAAACCAATTAAAAAAACAATTTAACAACTATGAAAAAATAAAAGAATAAGCTATACTGGCAAAATGATTGGTATGGTAAACAACATAGCTCAACTCCAATGCAATGTAACAAAATAATTAAATAAAAATATAAATATATAAATAAATATCTATGAAAATTCAATTTATCAATGAAATTGGAAACATTGAAATTGAATCGCAACAAATTTAGTATTGCATGTGTTGCTCTTACGTGCAACAGATGGGACTGTTTAAAAAAAGGATGTTTTTACCTGTCACAGGTGTTGCATCTATAGTTATACTCACAAAATAAATGGTATGGTAAACAACACAGCTAAATTCCAACGAAATATCACACAAAATAATTAAATAACAATGAAAATAAATCGAAATTTATTAAAATTCAATTTCAAAGCATATATATATATATATATATATATATATATATATATATATATATATATATATATATATATATATATATATATATATATATATATATATATATATATATATATATATATATATATATATATATATATATATATATATATATATAGATATATATATATATATATATATATATATATGTCGTACCTAGTAGCCAGAACTCACTTCTCAGCCTACTATTCAAGGCCCGATTTGCCTAATAAGCCAAGTTTTCCTGAATTAATATATTTACTATAATTTTTTTCTTATGAAATGATAAAGCTACCCTTTTCTCTATGTATGAGGTCAATTTTTATTTATTGGAGTTAAAATTAACGCAGATATATGACCGAACCTAACCAACCCTACCTAACCTAACCTAACCTATATTTATAGGTAAGGTTAGGTTAGGTAGCCAAAAAAAGCTAGGTTAGGTTAGGTTAGGTAGGTTAGGTAGACGAAAAAACATTAATTCATGAAAACTTGGCTTATAAGGCAAATCGGGCCTTGAATAGTAGGCTGAGAAGTGCGTTCTGGCTACTAGGTACGACATATATATATATCGTACTTAGTAGCCAGAACGCACTTCTCAGCCTACTATGCAAGGCCCGATTTGCCTAATAAGCCAAGTTTTCATGAATAATGTTTTTTCGACTACCAAACCTACCTAACCTAACCTAACCTATAGAGATAGGTTAGGTTAGGTAGGGTTGGTTAGGTTCGGTCATATATCTACGTTAATTTTAACTCCAATAAAAAATAATTGAACTCATACATAATGAAATGGGTAGCTTTATCATTTCATAAGAAAAAATTAGAGAAAATATATTAATTCAGGAAAACTTGGCTTATTAGGCAAATCGGGCCTTACATAGTAGGCCGAGAAGTGCGTTCTGGCTACTAGGTACGACATATATATATATATATATATATATATATATATATATATATATATATATATATATATATATATATATATATATATATATATATATATATATATATATAAATATATATTAGTATATTTTGGTAGCAGTCTTTCTATTAGACATATATTATTAAATATGACCGAAAAAGTAAGATTAATAATTCTAACACGAATTTTCTCGATCTTTCGTACGTTTCTTTTCACTGTTGGTGGTAATTCAAAAATCAATTCTCCAAAATTCATTTTTATTTCTAGTCTGACGTGACACTTGAGTGCGTTTCGTAAAACTTATTACATTTTCAAAGACTTTAGCTTACACATACACAACTGAATAGAACTTACACATCTTCGATTTGTTTATATCTACATTTTGAGTGAGGTGGATGGGGTGAGGTGGTATTAATAGGGTATTAAATTCCTAAACACAAGACAGAACACGAAACAATGGGTATTGAATGGAAGTGATTTGTAGAAAGCCTATTGGTCCATATTTCTTGATGCTTCTATATTGGAGCGGAGTCTTGAGGTGGGTAGAATATAGTTGTGCATTAATTGGCTGTTGATTGCTGGTGTTGACTTCTTGATGTGTACAGCCTCGCAGACGTCAAGCCGCCTGCTATCGCTGTATCTATCGATGATTTCTATGTTGTTTATTAGGATTTCTCT